TTGATAGGGCAGTAGAATTAGTCATGGAGGCAGGACCCAACGCCTGGCTGGCAAAATCGGACATAAAGTCTGCATTCCGTTTACTCCCAGTAGCCCCATCTGACTATGAACTACTTGGGTTTACGTTTCAAGGGTTGTATTACTATGATAGATGTTTACCGATGGGCTGTTCCATATCTTGCTCTCTGTTCGAAACATTTAGCACTTTCCTTGAGTTCATGACCAAACAGATGGCCACCACATCGCTAATAACCCACTATTTGGACGACTTTCTTTTTGTTGGCCATTCTCTAAATGCATGTCATGATTCACTCCAAGCTTTTAAAGTGGTGTGTGCGCGTTTGGGGGTACCAATTGCTGAAGAGAAAACAGCGGGCCCATCGCAAACAATTACTTATCTAGGCTTAGATTTAGACTCTCAACAACAGCAGGTTAGAGTTCCTGAGTTAAAGGTGCAGGCTCTTCGCCAACAACTTTCCAAGGCACTGCGCCAATCTAAGCTAACATTGGTGGAAGTACAATCCCTGGTAGGCTCCCTTAACTTTGTGTGTAAAGCGGTCGCTCCGGGACGTGCATTTCTGCGGCGACTCATCGCTTTAACCCGGGGTTTATCTCAGCCGCATCACAAGGTGCGCCTTAATCATGGGGCTAAAATGGACCTCATGATGTGGCTTTATTTCCTTGACCATTTTAATGGGGTTTCTCCGTTTCTGACTAATGGCTGGGAGTCAAGTGACACACTTGAGCTTTACACAGATGCCGCCGGTAGTATAGGGTACGGGGCGTACTTCCAAGGGAAGTGGTTTCAAGGGAGATGGCCCGAATCGATAGGTCAGTCACCTCTGTCTATAGCATACTTAGAATTCTATCCTTTGGTCGTAGCTGTTTATTGCTGGGGGTCATTTCTCGCAAATCGCAAAGTCATATTCCGCACTGACAACAGCGCTGTAGTTCATATCATTAACAAGCAATCGTCGCGATGTGACAAACTTATGCAGCTAGTCCGTTCATTCGTCTGTCAGTGTCTATGCCATAATATTTCTTTCAAGGCGGTCCATGTTCCCGGTCGATTCAATGTTATTGCTGACTCTCTATCACGTTTCCAGATGGATCGTTTTCGACAGGCCGCACCGAGTGCGGAACTGTCCATGACGCCTCTTCCCGCTTTCCATCTCAGTCAGTAACCGACAATTATTATCGCCTTTTTATCGCCCAATTATCGACAAGTATCGGTCGGATTGAAAATATTTCTTAATTTTCCTACACACCGATCTACCAATGTTTTACCAGAGACGTTTGGAGTCATTTGTGAATTTAGGGTATATTTTTCATTACTGGGTCTATATAGTCTCTTTTACTATAGAAACTTATCAATCAGTTGTGGGCTAATTCCAAAGTAAATAATTTCCAGACCCAACTACAGATTTCTTGTATCTGTCCCGTACGGACACGTTTATTGCATTACGACCGCAACTTTCAGGGCCCCTAACTGCAGTTCCAAATTATCGGTCGTTGGCGTTTGGATGCGGTCAACACCTATACCTGTACAACAATTCCGCTGTGTCATTTTCCTGGAGTAACTGCATGGTCATGCCGCGAAAATTTCTTTTTTAATTTTATCACTATGTACAGATACAGTTTGGATCGTGGGTGATTCTATTATTCGCAGAGCTCAGACGAACATGGATTGCGAGGCACAAATACACTGGATGGGAAAAGGTGGGGCTGGGATAGGCAATTTTCTCCCACTGGTAAGCCGCCTTGATGCTATGGCTCATGGCGTGGCTCCTACGGTCGTAATAATACACCTAGGTACTAATGACCTTGTTTCCATTGATACTTTTTGTATGCGCCAGCGTATTAGGTTACTCATGGAAGAGTTCAGGACTGGTTATCCATCTGTCTGCCTGGTTTGGTCCGATATTCTACCAAGGCTCTTTTATTACGGCGCACAGTCCAATGCCAGTATCAATAAAAAACGACTCACATTGAATAAATGGGCCAGGGCTATGGCTTACAGACTGAATGCGTACATTTTACATCATCCTCAGTTTGAGTCATGTCCTTCTCAGCTTTTCCACTTTGATGGAGTTCATTTGTCCCCGGAAGGTACTCGGTTATTTAAGGACAACCTGCAGTCTTGCATAAATGGTCTTTTGCGTAGTTTTTATTATTAAAGATGACTACAATTTCATTTCCCTGGACTGCTCGCTTTGGGGTGGCTGTCCTTCGTCCCTTGGGCCGCGCCCTAGTGCGCGGGTGGCGCCGACTGTGGTCGTGGGACAGGGTTCGGCAAGCCATACTCCAGGGTCGCTGAGCCTGTCCAGTGAAATGTGTTGACAGTGATTTATAATTGTTTAATTCCAAACCTTTACAACAATAACCCAGCCTGTGCCGGCTAGGGTTTGCTTCCACGAAGTCGGTTCCGACCGCGAAGCATTCCAATTATTTATGCCAGCGAACTTTGTGTTTCAATTAAGGCAATTACTTTAAAAGTTTCTACAAGTGTCCTATCAATTACGGAGCAATTTAGAAGGGGCGTGGATATACCACAGGTGGTTTTCGGAGTGGGGGACCGTTATTACCCCAGGTACGGTTTAAAGTGGATCCGGAGTGGGGGCCCGGTTATGTACCCCAGGTTCGGTGGGTCTGATCAACCCAATGGTTTGTAAGAGTCAGTTTGCCCAAAGGATTTCAGCAATGAAAGACTGGTATCTGGCCGTCTATTTATGTTGGTGGTGCGGTATGGTAAAACGGAAAACAAAACATGCTTTGATTTGGCATGAAGATTTAATAAACACATTCAGGCTGCGGCAAATCCAATGTATTGGTTAATGATGTTTTGATTGTACATGTATTCGTGTCTGAGTGTAATCAATTTTATCGACTGAACGATAAAATATCTTACACGCAGCTCGAATGGTTTTTATGTTTAATGATTTATTGGAGATCATGAATAATGCATTAATGAGCGGATTGGCTAGCCCAGCAGCAACGTGGTTAGACAGAGGCAAGGTGTGGGCTGTTGTCACGTGGAGAAGACCACTTCGTTGCAGTAACTGAATGTGGAAACATCGTTATCCCGCCTCCTCCCCTTCGCCGCCTTTAAGTATTAATTATCCGAAGTATTCGGATGTAAGTGCTCTGAAGACTTTTGCTGCCACTTAGCGGTTTCTCGGCGCTTCTTTGCGGAGTTTTTCCCAACGGGATTTTGACTCTTCATTTTGGCAAACAGGAAGAGTGGGTTTACCTTGAGGGTTTTTTCACTCCGTAAAAAGTGTGGGAAAGCGCGACTGTGGTCGTGGGACAGGGTTCGGCAAGCCATATTCCAGGGTCGCTGAGCCTGTCCAGTGAAATGTGTTGACAGTGATTTATAATTGTTTAATTCCAAACCTTTACAACAATAACCCAGCCTGTGCCGGCTAGGGTTTGCTTCCACGAAGTCGGTTCCGACCGCGAAGCATTCCAATTATTTATGCCAGCGAACTTTGTGTTTCAATTAAGGCAATTACTTTAAAAGTTTCTACAAGTGTCCTATCAATTACGGAGCAATTTAGAAGGGGCGTGGATATACCACAGGTGGTTTTCGGAGTGGGGGACCGTTATTACCCCAGGTACGGTTTAAAGTGGATCCGGAGTGGGGGCCCGGTTATGTACCCCAGGTTCGGTGGGTCTGATCAACCCAATGGTTTGTAAGAGTCAGTTTGCCCAAAGGATTTCAGCAATGAAAGACTGGTATCTGGCCGTCTATTTATGTTGGTGGTGCGGTATGGTAAAACGGAAAACAAAACATGCTTTGATTTGGCATGAAGATTTAATAAACACATTCAGGCTGCGGCAAATCCAATGTATTGGTTAATGATGTTTTGATTGTACATGTATTCGTGTCTGAGTGTAATGCAAGGTGAACCCTTTACAATCTGAAATCTTTCATGAACACCTGGTTTTGCCGTATTTTGCTAAAAAATGCAAGGTTAACCCCTAACAATTTGAAATGTTTCATGCACATTAAAATTTGCCCAATTTTACTTTAAAAAAAGCAAGGTTAACCCCCTACATCTAAAATTTTTCAGAAACATCTGATTTTGCCCAATTTTGCTAAAAATGCAAGGTTCACCCCTTACAATTTGAGATTTTTCATAAAAATCTGATGTAGCCCAATTTTGCTAAAAATGCCAGGTTAACCCCTTTCAATCTGCAATTTTCCAGAAACATCTGATTTTGCCCTAATTGGGGAAAGGTTAACCCCTTACAATTTTTGATTTTTCATACAAATCTGATTTTTCCCAATTTTGCTAAAAATGCAAGGTGAACCCCTAATAATCTGACATTTTTCATAAACACCTGATTTTGCCCTATTTTTCTAAAAAATGCAAGGTTCACCCCTTACAATTTGAGATTTTTCATAAAAATATGATATTGCCCAGTTTTGCTAAAAATGCCAGGTTAACCCCTTTCAATCTGCAATTTTCCTGAAACATCTGATTTTGCCCTAATTGGGCAAAGGTTAACCTCTGACAATTTTTGATTTTTCATACAAATCTGATTTTTCCCAATTTTGCTAAAAATGCAAGGTGAACCCCTTACAATCTGACATTTTTCATCCACATCTTATTTTGCCAAATATCACTAAAAAAGCAAGGTAAGGCCTAACCCCTTACAATCTGAAATTTTCAAGAAAGATCTGATTTTGCCCAATTTCGCTAAAAATAAAAGGTTCACCCCTTACAATTTGAGATTTTTCATAAACATTTAAATTTGCCCAATTTTACTAAAAAAGCAAGGTTAACCCCTTACAATTTGAAAATTTTCATTCACATCTTACTTTGCCAAATATCACTTAAAAAGCAAGGTTAACCCCTTACAATTTGAAATGTTCCAGAAACATCTGATTTTGCCCTATTTTGCTCTTAAAAAAATGCAATCTTAACCCTTCACAATTTGAAATTTCTCATTAACATCTAACTTTGCCAAATATCACTAAAAAAGCAAGGATAATTCATTTTATCACTGAAAGATAAAATACATTATTCTCCACAAACGCACAGTTGAGTCCTACACTTTCTTTTATCAGCTGATGGTTGCTATGGTGTAGGAAAAGTAAACATATCGATTGGCCTAATTGCAGTTTGCCGCCCCCTGATGGCATAAAGCCAAAAGCGATGTTCTTGGCATAAGGATGGATGCTTTTTGCTAAGTTGGTACAAATGTATTAAGTTCACGTGCGCGCATTGACGCGCTAAGTGCATTTGGGGCAAGAAAGGCCAGTTCGGCGTAGCTTTTTGAGACCGCTACATCAAAAATAAATTTCTCCGGGAATATTTCGTTTTTCGCTTATATTTCCATGGGTGTTTCGTTCATAATTGAACATCGTTTGGTGAATTGTCTCCGGGATGGTATATGATTTTTGTTATACAACTGGCTGCAGTGATCTTGTGAGTTTTTGCAACTTTTCGTCATTTCGATGCTTCGCCCAGCCGTGGGCGTGATGCCGTACGCTGAGCAGAGTGGGCCCTACACCTGGTGACTGCAGTCTGCTAAATCATCAGACAGATCGTACTTAATTTACTTCATGTGCGTTTCTTCAGCTGACTTGAACTTTCAGTTATTTGTTCAACCTCTTGGTGAGGTTTTGGAGATCGTGATTAGTCCATCAGTGAAGCTTGTGTGCTTGAATCATGTTCTGTCGTTAGTCTACGAATACTGAAGTACGCAACGTTATGACCGGCGGAGTACGGTCGGCGAATCCCCCGCCTAGATTTCAGTCCACCCGGTACCGGCTGAGGTTCACGGCATGCTTGGCCGCGGAAACGCGGGAGTGCAGTGTGAAACCACGTCTATATGCAGGCCTGAACGCTGTTCATGACGTCCAGGTCCCGGGATTTTTTCCTGCGTTTATACAGTATTGGACATCATGCGCAAACATGCTATCATGGATGGAATTCGAGGTGAGAATTTTCCAATTATAGCCCTGGTTTCGGGCCAATTTTTGTCAGTGTTGCTGTGTAGTTTAGTGTGAAGTTTTTGGGGCTCCGCACCCGTGATTCAAAGAGGCTCGGCCTCACTGCCAACCATACCGTAGGCGAGAATGAATCGATCGTGCTGGATTGATATTTGAGTAGGGCCAAGATAATTGAATGGTACAATTAAGATGGACCGACTATAATTGTTGTGAAGTTGAATGACAACTGAAATAAATGTCCGAAAAAGATGATGTTTGAATTCAATGTCCCTTATCAGTGTTGACAAATTTTGGCAGATCTGGTTAAAATTCAGTCATTCGGAATATGGGGGAGAAAGGCTACTCATACTCAGATACATTTTGATGGAGCCTCCTAATTATTTGCCTGCAGTGAGTTTGTTCCATTTTTCTATAGTAAACTATTGGAACCAAGCAAGTAATTTTCCGGGCGAGTGCTGGAATTTTATTAAATCTGAGTAGGCCTAGGCCTATAGCTGATTCTTTCTTCATCTGTTTCTACAAAAATAAATAGGCCTAGGGCCTATAACCTGACCATTCTCCTCCCTTCATGGGCGCAATGGTAAAATTCCAATATAATCAAATAAATTTATAAATTATAAATAGGGCCTAAATAAATAAACGCATGTTTAAAAAGAAAAGAAAAATATGAAATGGATAGCTGCTGCTTTGAGTATTGTTTTTTACAGGATGCCACGGCAAGGCGGACGCTGCAAATTGGTTGGGGACAGGAACTTTTACCATTGAATACTCTGCGGGTTGTCTTCCAAGTTCGGAAGCCTATAGCAAGGTCGGTGGGTTACTGATGATCGCTCAGCAACTTGGTAACGTGCAGAATATCAACTGTTGCCGAATTAAATGCACTCATCAGGAAACTGCCTTAACACAGAAGGAGTCGCATACTTCTACTTTGCGAACATGATCTGTTAATTTCTACAGACATCTGTTTGAATTTAATCAGCATAGGATGCAATAGATGTTTCCTGATACATTCAGAAGAAGCATGAAAAGTAATATTCCTGGTGGTCTTTAAGACACAAGTGTATTGTGTCACTGATGTGATTTAGGAATGTTTCTAATATTTTAACCACGCGTGTTACAGTGTAGCAAATACGGCGGCTGATTGACCCAGATCAGATCTTTAACATCATGTATGGTTTGAATTTTGGTAAGCATTGTAAATATCAACAAGGAATTGATAATTTTGGTTGGACACATTCTGGCACATGTATACATAGTATAATTTCCAAGGTATATGCACCATAACACATTTTCAAGTTTGAATCCACCCCTTAGAATTTTGGTGTAGGTGGGCGTATATTAGACATGGCTGCTTTTGTATGGTACAGGTTTCCAAAGGTAACCAGGAGAGTACCCAGCATATTGATTCAAAGTAGTGCATTGCGGTGGTGCATAGCTTTTTTCAAGGTGTATTAATACTTTAAATATAATATTTGATGCCATGGAAGTAAGAAAAGGGATGCTGCCCATCTACGTGTATCTCAAACTCTTCATATTAATACTTACAGTTTTGCTCCTAGAGTCCAAAAAGAAACTTGGTCGCCGATTCAGGGGCCGGAAAGGAATTTTCCCCAATTTTTCCCACAAAGATGGGTTTTTTATTGGGTTTTCGCCTTTCCTAGGAGCAATGATAGCTAAATGTCATGATTTCAAGATGAGCCTGATGAATTAAAGGTAATCACAATTGGAAGCTGATACTTTTGACATGTATACATACAACATTTTAATTATGTATTTGCCCCCATTTGCTTATTTTGGACTTCAAACACTTTGTGGGCCAACATTTGCCAGTTTTATTGTTGGGGCATTAGGATTGCAAGCTTCTGAATGTATACATCGATTTATGGGATTTGTATGATGAACATATTGACCTAAATGGTTCTGCACTTAATTGCAAGCTAGATCAGGAGCGCAACCTTGATTTGGAGATATAGTTTTACTTCAATCTTGATAACATCATGCTAGCCCTTCATGCCATATTTGAGGGCATCTGTTTAGCCATGTTCTGAGCAAGTTGAATAATGATTGCTACCCTAAATGTTTTATCGCGTGCATTTTCTGCAAGTTTACCTTACATCTTACCTCCGTGTTTCCAAGTGATGGATTGTTTGTGTAAGCGTACCCATGATTTTCTGGCAAGCATGCTAATGATTTCTGCAGTTATTAGCGCATTCTTTGAATGGTAAGACTAGCGTATGAATTTGTTGTAATAGTGATGTTCATCTTCCTCAATTTATCTCTGCGTACTTAATTAACATTCTTACAACCGTGTTTCATGGGTTTTGTTCGGGCAAACATGCCCAAGTAGTGGTGACAAAACGTGTCATGGATGTTTATAATTGAACTCATTCTTTGAAAAAAATGGTCAGAGTAACACATGTTGCAATATATATCTAAAAAGAAAAAGAAAAAGAAAAGGCATTGATCTTTCCTCAATTATATTGTCTGCGTGTATATTTTGCACTCTACATTGTTTCCAGGCAATGGATTGTTTGGGCAAGCATGTCCAGGATTTTGGGGGCAAGCATGCCAAGGATATGTACAATTTGAATACAATCTTTGAGTTTAGTGATGGTAGTTTGAACTTGCTGTATTATGCAATGGTGGTTTACATTATATTTGGGCAAATAAACCCAAGTTGTTGGGGCAAGCGTGCCAAGGATATTTACAATTTGAATTCAATCTTTGTGTCCAGTGGTCGCAGTTTGAACTTGTCGCCATATCTGTATGTTTATTTTGCATTTTATAACTACACATATTTCCAAGACGTGGGCTGATTGCATTTTGTAACTTTATGTTTCGAACCAGTGGGTTGTTGTGGAAGGCATGCCCAAGTTTTGGGGCAATTAAGTGTACCAAGGAATTACAATTTGAACTCAATCTTGAAGTCCAGTGGTCTGAGTTTGCAATTCTTGCCATAAAAGTATCAGTTATTCTTAAGTATAGTTGCATTCTATTGATTGTTTTGGGCAAGCATGCCCAAGTTTCTGGGGCGGGTGTGTAAAGGATACTTCCCATTTCAACTGATTCTTTAAAACCAATGGTCAAGAGTTTGCTCTTAATTATTGCAATAATGTTATCCATTATTCTTTGATATGCATATCTGCATGTTATATTTTACAACCGTATGTACAAGCAAGGGTTATGCAGTGATGGCGTCCATCATTCCTAAATTTATTTTTTGTAGGTTTACTTTGCATTTTATAATTTCCAAGTAATGAATGGTTTGGGCCAGCATGCCCAAGTTGATGGGGCAAGCGTGCCAAGGACATTTAAAATTTTCATTCAGTCTTTGAGTACAGTGGTTGCAGTTTGATCTTATTGCCATTATGCAGTGAGGGTGTACATTATTTCTCAATGTGTTATCTATGTTTAATTTGCATTTTACAACGGTACATGTTACCAAGCAGTGGGTTGATTGGGCAAGAATGCCAAAGTTTTGGGGTAAGCGTGCAATAGGATGTTTCACAATTGAACTGACACTTTGAAACCAATGCCAGAGGCTGCGATGCTTGCCATGGTGGCAGTTATTCTTACGTATCCATGTGTTCTATTGATTGTTTGGGCAAGCATGCCCAAGTTTCTGGGGCAGTTGTGCCAAGGACATTTCCAATGAAAACTGATTCTTTAAAACCAATGGTCAGGGGTTGCACTTAAACATTGCAACAATGGTATCCATTATTCTTCAAAATGTATTGCAGCATATTTTATTATACAACCATGTTTACAAGTAAGGGTTTGAGCAAGCATCTCAAAGTGTTTGTGGCAAGTATGCCAAGGATATTCGCAAGTTGGGCTCATTCTACAAAACAAGCAGTTGGAGATTGCACTATTTACAATAACTGGCCAGGGTTCTTTTTCCTGAAAGTTTTATCTGCATGCTAATACTTTGCATGCTACAAAGGCATTTCCAAGCAATGGGTGGTCTGTTTTTATCTTGTGGTGGTAATAATGGCAACTCATTACAACTACGATTTCAGGTAATTTCATTCCGTTGCTACACACTCCACTGTTTGTGTTTAATTCACTCGTCGGGGTTGGGCTCTAGGTGTGCTGCCTCAGTCGTCCCAGTGGGGCGCGCGTTGCGCGTTTGGCAGTAAGGTCCTGGGAGCGACGGGCAGTGCCTCAATTCAAACTAAATAAACAACTTGGGTATTTAGTTCTGAAGTAAGACTTGGAATTTGGACGTTAAACATTTAACAGGTTGTGTTTACTCTTTGTAAAAAAGTACGCCAAGCACCCATTTGTACTGATGGGGCATGCCAACCGTAGCTACGAGCGGTGGACCAAATCGGGGTGCTTTTCCAATTTATTAAGTAAGTTTTGCATATATTCAAGTCACGTGACAAAACTAAAAAACACTTTGGCTAGCACCCACTTGTTCTGGTGGGGCTAGTGAATGGTTGGCAAGCGTGCCAAGGTTTTGGGCCCAGTGATGCCAAGCATGGCAAGGAGGGGCAAGCGTGCCCCGTTTTATGGCAAGCGTGCCGAAATGTTTACGCAAATAACTTTAAGTAAATCGAAAGATAATTTTAATTGTTCCAGTATAGTTTATCAAGGTATTCACTGCCATTTAATCAAGTTAAATATTGACCATGGAGAAATAAAATAGCGGCTCAAAAACTATGCCAAAAAGTCAAGTCATTGTTTCAATGCGTGGTTTTGTGCGTAGTCTGAGAATAATTCATTTTATCACTGAAAGATAAAATACATTATTCTCCACAAACGCACAGTTGAGTCCTACACTTTCTTTTATCAGCTGATGGTTGCTATGGTGTAGGAAAAGTAAACATATCGATTGGCCTAATTGCAGTTTGCCGCCCCCTGATGGCATAAAGCCAAAAGCGATGTTCTTGGCATAAGGATGGATGCTTTTTGCTAAGTTGGTACAAATGTATTAAGTTCACGTGCGCGCATTGACGCGCTAAGTGCATTTGGGGCAAGAAAGGCCAGTTCGGCGTAGCTTTTTGAGACCGCTACATCAAAAATAAACCCACCTCCTCCCCTTCATCCGCCATATTTTACGAATTTAAAAATGGCAGTAAGGTCCTGGGAGCGACGGGCAGTGCCTCAATTCAAACTAAATAAACAACTTGGGTATTTAGTTCTGAAGTAAGACTTGGAATTTGGACGTTAAACATTTAACAGGTTGTGTTTACTCTTTGTAAAAAAGTACGCCAAGCACCCATTTGTACTGATGGGGCATGCCAACCGTAGCTACGAGCGGTGGACCAAATCGGGGTGCTTTTCCAATTTATTAAGTAAGTTTTGCATATATTCAAGTCACGTGACAAAACTAAAAAACACTTTGGCTAGCACCCACTTGTTCTGGTGGGGCTAGTGAATGGTTGGCAAGCGTGCCAAGGTTTTGGGCCCAGTGATGCCAAGCATGGCAAGGAGGGGCAAGCGTGCCCCGTTTTATGGCAAGCGTGCCGAAATGTTTACGCAAATAACTTTAAGTAAATCGAAAGATAATTTTAATTGTTCCAGTATAGTTTATCAAGGTATTCACTGCCATTTAATCAAGTTAAATATTGACCATGGAGAAATAAAATAGCGGCTCAAAAACTATGCCAAAAAGTCAAGTCATTGTTTCAATGCGTGGTTTTGTGCGTAGTCTGAGAATAATCCCTTACATCTGAAATTTTCCAGAAACATCTGATTTTGCCGAATTTTGCTAAAATGCAAGGTTAACCCCTTTCAATCTGCAAATTTCCAGAAACATCTGATTTTGCCCTAATTTGGCAGAGGTTAACCCCTTACAATTTTTGATTTTTCATACAAATCTGATTTTGCCCTATTTTGCTAAAAAATGCAAGGTTCACCCCTTACAATTTGAAATTTTTCATACACATCTTATTTTGCCAAATTTTACTACAAAAGCAAGGTTAACCCCTTACAATCTGAAATTTTTCAGAAAGATCTGATTTTGCCCAATTTCGCTAAAAAAAATGCAGGGTTCACCCCTTACAATTTGAAATGTTTCATAAACATCTAAATTTTACTAAAAATGCAAGGTTAACCCCTTACAAGCTGCAATTTTCCAGAAACATCTTATTTTCCCAACTTTGCTAAAATGTAAGGTTAACCCCTTGCAAACTGTTAAATCAATACATGAAGTGTCCCATTTGATTTTTTTTAAAACAATTTTTTTCCCCAGTTTTTAGGGTAAAGGAATTTTCCCTTTTTCCTTTCTTTTTTGTTGTTGCTATATTTTGCGAATTAACTCATTCGTATGGAATGCTCATAGTCAATCAAAGAATATTTCACACATAGGGGCCTAGATTATATTTTTTGAAATTTAATAGAGACGCGTCGTTCGTGCTATCATATACCATTCTATTACTATTGCGAATTACTGTATTGTTTGGAATGCTCACAATTAAAGACACGTTATTTGAAAGATGTATAAATAATATTTATATTACATTGTACATCTTTATTCTTTCCCGGTATAATTTATGGCGTTTCTAACGTCAATTAGCAATCGCGTCATTATATAATGATGGTAGTCATATTGATCAAACGAAACTCCTTTTTGATCATAGTCAATTATGAAATATTCATTGATTTATGACATACACCTTTGTTTCAATTTTGATACTACCCGTAGACCTGCCGAGCAGCTGTAGATATCAAACTAAACCAAAGTATAAAAGATAGAGGGTCAAAAAAATCAAAAAGTTATGTGCTAGTCAAGCTTTCAGGGATCGGTCAGAGCCATAACAATGCCCCAGCCGATCCCTTAGTTCTCTTCCGGGGTCTCGGCGTCCCCGACCAATACACACTTCCTTCCCTATCCATCCATATAACCCCGGAGGGCCAGGCACCATGTAAAAGCAAAGAGCTAAGGGAGGAACAGGGCGGCCCCTAAGCCCTGATCCTCCGAGTGGACCACATGCCCTGAACCTGTACGAAGGCGCCAACCTGGAACTCGCGGACAGTACCAGCAGCAGTGCTTACCGATTAAGCTAAGGTACTGTTGGTATTTTACGACGGGAAATAAAACATCTTATAAAGACAGAATGCGTGATTTGAAAAGCAAAAAGACACACACGGGATTCGAACCCGGGCTCCGCGATTCGTGGACGACGAATCTAACCACTAGGCCATTAGGCTTCCTTAGAATTCTTGTCAAAAACTATTTGTCTTAATAGGCAGAGAAACGTGGAACATTGCTGTGTGCATCTATCTGTTTTGGCTCTATGTACGAAAATAAGTTGACAGTTTTGGGCAACAAAGAGCAAACTGTTGTCATTGGTTTGGAAAATTACATACGGATACATCGTTATTTGTAGGCGTATATGCGTGCTAAACATACTCATCGTTACGCAACAATCGAAACACCATTAGGCTATTTTTTTTTAAAGGAATCGGGTGCGTTCAGGGGCGAATCCAGGAATTGGTGAAAACCGTGGTAGTCCCAATCTGCAAGCCAACGTCGGACCACCGTTGGCTGGGGAGCGGCATGCCGGCATCGGCACGCCGATCCAAACCATCATCAGCGGTCCGCCAGTGGCGCTCCAAAACCGCCGGCGGACCATCAGCGTCAATCAGCGGCATACCACCGGCGGTCCACCGCTCCAAAACCGCCGGCGGCCCACCAGCGGCAGTCAGCGGCAGACCACCGGCGGTCTACCGCTCCAAAATCGCCAGCGGTCCACCAGCGGCAATCAGCGTTTGTTGTTCCCAGCGTTTGTTGTTCCCAATTGTTCCCAACAGTTTTTCCTCAGCCTGTAATCACTGACATTATTTTCCTGAAAAATATTTTGAACAGTACGTTCTCCTCGTTAATGTTGAGGGGAAAAAACATTCAAACGTAGACGAAAACAACATTAACCAGGACACCACATTACACTAGGGGGTGCTGTTCATGATGTCAATTTTTATTTCATGTACAGTGCATCGTTCGTACCCGGTAACCCCCCTCCCCTACCCCTCCTTGCAAACAGGCCTAGGGCGCTGGGCAGTGATGGGCTGATGAGCTTCACGGAATCTTGTGAAGGATGTGGGGATGGCATAGCAGCCTACAGTATTATTAAAAGGAAAATGCATCAACTGAAAAAAGGTCAAAAAACACAATTTTTCTTTTTCGCAAATAATTTTTATTTGTCACTTTATTTGTCGTGTTATCTAACAGGTTGATGTTATAATAGTATTGTTTTATGTAGTGCTACAGTTATTACCGTTGTACATTGTTTTAATGTAGTAATACAGAAGAATAGCTCTCGCAGGAACCGATGTGCCTATACACGATTTTTGTATGGCTCCATGATCTAGGCAAACGCATAATGACCAACATCATGATCGGGAAAAAAATACAAAGGATTTTTTTTCTGTAAATGTTACAATACCCGTCAGCTAGACTTAATAAAATTTGACTCATCCATGACCTGCATTTTAACTATTACAACATGACTGAGGGTTAATGACGTGAGTGACATTTTACAATCATCAAGTTCATCAAATAACATTTCAGACTCTTTTGCTGAAAAAAAATCTGCTTTTTTTTCATGTTGTACGGTTAAAAAAAAACTGGGCAATAATTCAACATATGTTCAAACTGAAATTTAGACCAGAACTCCGGACGTGGTGGAAGTGACGTCATTGCGGATGTCAAAGGTCAACCTCGTATCTGAGCTATAAAGCTAAGTTTAACGAGGTTGTTGGGACACCCACAAAAACTGACACTTATGGAACATACAGAGTTCTGGTCTTAAGTTCAGTTTGTTTGTTTTTTCTTGTGAAAAAACTGGGCAATAATTCAACATATGTTCAAACTGAAATTTAGACCTGAACTCCGGACGTGGTGGAAGTGACGTCATTGCGGATGTCAAAAGTCAACCTCGTATCTGAGCTAGAGAGCTAAGTTTAACGAGGTTGTTGGGACGCCCACAGAAACTGACACTTATGGAACATACAGAGTTCTGGTCTTGAGTAAAGTTTGTTTGTTTGTTTGTTCGAGTAAATGGATCGTTTTGGTTTGTATTAATGCTTTTCTCATTTTTATTGTTTTCCTAGAAGTGAAAACAGACCTTTAACTCAAATTTATTCAAGTTTGCCAAATTCTTTTCAATAGAGTAATTGCAATAAAAGTTATTGCAATCTTCAGTTTTCAATAGTCACTTAACAAAATAAATTATTTGAATTCATCGTTTAGTTTCAGTTACCATTGACGTTATTAGACCATTTTTGTGAATAAAGCCATCTTTAATAGATATCAGTTAATAAAATATAATTGTAGTTGCCGAAATCGCACAGAAAAAAAGGGCCTAGTATTTATTTTTGCGTTTCGGTTGAACAACAGGTTTCTCCCAGTGGCTCAATAATCCGATTTTATTATCATAAAACGTGTTTATTTTACCAAAGGACTGTATACCAGACCGTTAAGAAATGCCAGCTATCTCTTTGTTAATTTTGTATAACTTGGTCTTAATGCCACTTGAAACGTGATATTTCGGTAGAAAAAAATCCATGTCTGATGACTATTTCGCATACGACTGGCCTCAGTGATTTCATAATGTCTTGCTTCTGGAAACTAGAAAACTAAAATGGTTGCACCTGATCGAGTTCTATAGCCAAATCCGGGCACGTAATCACTTGCACACTCACGATGACCCCTTCAATTGGGAACCATTGAGCACGCTAAATTAACTGCCCTGCGATGACACATTAAGAATAGTTGCACTATACTTTCGCCAGATAAGGGCGATAGAAGTGATAACGTGTTCGGATTGGTCAACAGTTTGCAAGGCCACGTCTGAATCAGCTGTTGTTTGGTTACGGTTTGCTGAGGCTTGCTATAGGGCCTACTGATGGGCTGTGTGTAACCACAGCAAACAACATCCAATTCGGACACGAAAGACCTTTTTTTCCCCCTTTTTTCTGTGCGATTTTGGTTTTGATAATTTAAGAAAGATGGCGACGAAGGTTAGAAGAAGGAGAGGAAGAGGAAGGAAGAGCAGGAGTAGCGCTGGAAGATTGCTGGTGAGCCTCCAACAGCTGCGCAATGAGATGGTCAAGTTTCAGTGAGATGGCTTCCAGTGTCGGGCGAGCACCGGGGCTGCGTCTCATGCAGGAGAACTCACCCAGCAGACGAAGACCGTGGAGGATGTTTGCATCACCGGCTACATCCACGAAGAGCTTGCCAAGACTGTAGATGTCGGACTTCTCGGTGAACGTGCCTCTGCCTTCCAGCACCTCGGGAGCACACTTGAAGTGAATGGTTGAGCAAACAAACTTACTTCAGAAATGAAGTGGGAACAATCAGCAATGATTCATGTTTAACTTTAGTAGAGAGCATATAAGTAACGTATTGGCTGCACTCAAATTAAGTGGTTGGTATTCCGGGCTTGATTCTCGACTTTCCAAAGTAGGGTACATCTGTGTTTACGTTTTTAACACAAGAGCAAAGTTGAATTTAAATATCAAACTGAAAAGCTGCATGGAATGGAACGAAGGGAAAAAAAAAGATGCACAAGTGTAAAAGATTATAGATAAGATTAGAATTTGATGTGATGACGAATATACCAAGGACGAAGATGATGGCATATGATATTATTACATTCTTGCTTTTTGTACCTGCTTGGCAACTTTGTAGAACATATTCTGTTCCTCATATTCCAGGATCACCAGTGGGCCTGGATTCGAAGTCCGCTGGGCGTTACCTAGGTCGATGATTTTGCCACACCAAGCCACCTCCGAGCCTGGTGGATTGGGACACACCATGGCATTACCGCAGTGTAGGTCGTTATGAAGCCAGCCAGCAGCGTGTAAAGCCTTGAGTCCCTCCGTGACATCACGGCAGACGTGTAGCCACTCTAACGCGTTCAAGAGATTGTAGTCGTACCGCGCCTTGCTGAAGTTGTAAGCCGTGTTCCTCCCGACTCCACCCACTAGCTCCTGGGCGTACGAACAGTAGTCAATGACTCCTACAAACTTGGGGAAGTACGGGCAGTTCATCACCGCATGCATGGCTGCCACCTCTTGCTGTAAGAGTGAGAAGCTCCTTGTCAGTACCTTTACGGCAAGCAGAGTGGTGTCTCCTTGACGACGCATCAGTAAGACTTCACCATAGTTACCACACCCAAGCATCACCCGTCCTCCTTTGTCAGACAGAATGAACTCTAACTCGCTAGGATCGATAGAGGGGTAAGCAGCAGGTGTGAGTTCTGGTATTCCGTCTTGAGGACCTTCGGTTGCCTGGGATGTCTGAGCAGAAGATGCATTGGCAATGCTTGATTTCTTGTCATCCGCTGATGCATCCTTCGAAGGTGATTTCTTCGAGATGTTCGGTTGTAGTGAATGCTGGTTTTCTTCTAACGAAGGCACAATTGCCCTTGGTGAAGTTGAAGTTGAATTCTTCTCAGAGAGATTTGAAACTGAAGATGCATGATTTCCAGCTGGTGTTGGCTCTTGCCGATCTGAGTCGCTCTTCTGTTCTATTCCTGCAATTTCCACCAAATTCTTGTTAGAACCTTCTTTTGCAACCATGGACGAAGAAGATACTAAATCTCTGGCGGATGCAGCCCCTTGAAGATTTGCGCTATCTGTTTGAACCTGTGCTGCTGTATTTGGTGTTGATTCACTCCCCTGAGCTTTTCCTTTGAGATCATTCAAAAGGTTTGTGGAATCTGTTCTTGCAATTACAGATGAAGGAGATTCAAAATCTCTTGCAGATGCAGTCTCTTGACGACTTAAGATGTCCATTCGAGCTTGTGCTGTTGTACTTGATGTTGCGTCACTCTTCTGAGCGTTTCCTTCAAGATCCTCCAAACATTCATTGGAATCCTTCCTTGCAATTATGGATGATGACAATTCCGAATCTTTTGAAGATGCCACCTGTCTAGGACTCAAGGCGTCCTCCAGGGCCTGTGATGATGTACTTGATGTTCCCCTAGCCTCCTCGATATCTGAGGGTTTCTTGGCAGGATTTGCTGGAGATGCTGATTTCACACACTCATTACGTGACTCTACGTCCTCCGTCGATGAGGTCATTTGGTTCAATTCGCGAATTATATCTTTGGCTTTCCTGGTTTGAAATTCCTGTTGATGAAAACATACAGAAATTGAAAAAAAAATACAAACTTAATAATTCTCATGATTTCGTCTTAGTTCCTTTTTTTTTTTATCATAAATGAATTGACTAAGACCCTGCCGCCCCGTGCTATTTGAAAAAAATCATAAGGTTTCGAAATCCTTTACATCGCTCATGAGTAAATAGGCTAAACTTTGTATTCAGATTTTCTTATTTCAGACCAACTTATTTTACCTCACTAGCAGTGCCTGCAGCTCTCATGGATGATAATGAGGAACCTTCTCTGCCATCATCGTAGATGAAGTCTTCATCCTCCGTTCCTGGTCCGAGACTCTGAGACGAAGAGGAGCTTGTAGATGCAGTGGACACACTGAGCTCAGATGGAGACATTGGCTTCGAGATCGATTCCAAACCATCAATATCGTCTCCACCTTCTCCCACCTCGTTGTGATGTTGTGATGTTGCCAAAGACGAGGTTGCCATTGGGATTGAGGGTGTGATGTCATTTTCTGACGAAAGAAGAGGCTCCAAGATGAGTCCTTCATTCTCAGATACCATGTCTTCATCCTGCTTGATTGTTGATTCTGTGCTTTCTGATAATGGTGACATTGAAAAACTTTTCACTGGGTTGGAGAGACTACTTCTCGTCGATGAAGATGCGGATGTTTGTTGCTTGGGTGATTCTTCATCATCAGATCTTTCGTCTCCATGCCTCTCCAAGGCCTCCTTCTCATAGATTGCAGATGTAAGACTGGGCAAGGCAGAGATGAGGACTTCGTTTAAAGTGCATGGTTTCCCGTCATCAGGGGTTCTGTTTTCATCCGATGACATTACGGAAGAGGTTGATGTTGTTGGGGAAGATGGTGCATCATTTCTTGAAGGGGATGTAGGTTCGTGTCTTGAATTTGCGCCTTCAAGATCTGATGCTCTGTCGCCATCTTCAACGACTTCGGCCTGAAGCCTATCCAGGTGACAAATGAGGATGTTGGTAGGAGATTCCTCACTTGTTGCGGTAGAGCAAGGTGCTACAGACTTCAAGGTGGATTCTGCATTATTGTGTGCTACATCTTGATCTTCTTGTACTTGTTCCTGAACCTCTAGACATAAGCACGGCGTGAAATCAGAGGACCCACAAGTCCCCTCGGTAGATAGAGACTGCAAGACTGGCTTCGACACTGAGTTGTCATCTGGTGTCATGTCTTCACCTTCTCTGTCTTGCATTGGGGATGGTTGCGGTGTCAATTTGATTTCAGAAGACTTGTCATCACCTCTTGAGATCGACGTCAGAGGATCCGGGTTAGGGATTTCTACTTCCTCATCTGATGCTGGTTTTCCATCCTCCATCGCTGGTTCTTGCCTCTGAGATGGAAACGAAGGCAAGATGGAGACAGACGAATTGCATAAGGAAGCATCCCTGGGAGTTAGAGTAAGGAGTGACCCATCATCGTAGTTGACGATGAGGCTCGTAACCTCCTCCTGCTCCTGCGATAAGATGGGATTATCACTCATCAGAGCAGAGAGAGAACTTGACTGCAGATGGTCCCAGTCTAATTGAGGTACTCCTGGGATCGGGAGTGGCTGGTCGGCGCAAGAGGCTGGTCTTGTAGCCAGGGCAGCACTGCCTTGCCGACGATACATCGTTCCAGTCGATGCTGGAAAGAATAATACAAAAATACGTAGCCATGAGGACAAAACAAATTTTCTAAGAAGAAAGATTTGTTTTGCAAATGTGGCAATTTCAAAGAATTGTTTAGGGTGTAGCCACGTTCTTAAGTTGTTTTCAGTAGGAAAGTTACAAGTCCAAGAACATGAATTTGCAAATATTAATCACCTGGATACAGCGATGCAGACGGAACGATTGGTCCAAAGGACAAATCGCAAAATTTGGTCTGCCAGTAGATTTAAGAAACTCACCATTTCCTCCAAATCCCTTTGCTTCTCGATTCTTCATCAGAGCGCTGGTGTACCGGCTCTGGTGACCTGGGTCACTGTGGTCTTCTTTCAGTGACCTAGGTCGGCTGACTTTACCTGGGTCACTGTGGTCTTCTTTCAGTGACCAAGGTCGACTAACTTGACCTGGGTCACTATGGTCTTCTTTCGGTGACCTAGGTCGGCTGACTTGACCTTCCGATTGCCCTTGTGGTGTAACGAAGGGCTGAACGGTGGTCATGCGCTCGCGATTCCGAGGAGCAAAGAGGGATCGAAGTCTCGATGTCCACGGTCGCTTGGGCCTAATTAAGGGGGAGTAAAGGTGATATGGCGGGGTTCTCAATTGTGTGTATATACATGGTTAATTCAGAGGTGGTTCTCCTTAGGCATAGGAGGCACTGTCTTTGTTTTACATGTTTTTTCCTCACTGTGACAAATGATGATACCATAATACATTTGCTTGCAACCAAGACCAATTTGTCAAGTGGCTCTTACAGAATAAATTTACTACAGCGGAAAAGAAACTGGTTTCGGAATTTTATTTTCATTTTTGATTCAAGGAACAGAAGATTTCATTAGCATCAGCTAACACTTTCAAATTTTTAAGCTTACGAAATAGCCATGTGACCCCCTTCAGTATTAAAATCTAAAGACATCAGACATAATTATAACAAGGCATACGTAGGTCTCTGTTGTATAAAAAAAAAAATAGTTTATACATTTTTTTTTTAGAAATGACTGCACTCGCCTTGATCTTGGTGGGACACGTGCCTGGCCTGAGACGACAGATGACGGCCTGTCATCATCGTCTACTGGGGGACACGAGCTCGTCCTGTCGCTGTTGATGTTCGTCAGCTTACAGGACTGCCCGACTACGACCAAGTTGCCTGATCCCCGGTTGGTATTTGAGATTTGCGATGAGGCAGTGAACATGGCGTAGCGGGCCGAGTCAACTCGGGCACTGGGGCGGGGCGGGCGTGCTTCTGGTGTCAACGAGGGACCGTCGGTGTTGAGAGGTCGAACCTTGTTGCGTTGAAGTTGACGCCGAAGGGGGAAAAGCCTCCTGTTTGGGGTAAATAAAAATCACAGTAATGTTGCCATGCTCTGCCAAACTTTAGTCTTTCTTGATTCTTATTTTAAAGTATCTTGCGATTTAAATTTTATTCTTAAAAATTCTTCTGTAATTTTGTTCTGTTGGAAAGAGTTGTTCCTTTTTGGGGGGTGGGGGTGTGCTCCAGATTTAGTTTAGAGTTTTGAATAAGACTCACTTGACTTGAGGGCCTTGTAAGGGTGGCTTAAGATTCCGCTCATCCTTAGCGGAATCAATCTGGCGATGGACATATCCACTTGGGGACACCCGCCGGGAGCCAGTTATGGGCTGACCGGCATTCCGCGATCTTCCCCGGGTATCACCTCTGGGTGGATTACCGCTCCCGACGCGAGCCGAATGCGGACATCGTCCTCTGACGGTTGCAGAACGGGGACCGTAGTTGCCGTAACACGCCCCGCTACCTCCCGCCGAGTGGTCCAACAAGTCACAAGCCTTTCTAAGTGTTCAATGAAACAAAATGATAATGCCCCAATTATCAGCAAAACTGCTGTCTGCATGTAGGCCTAACATTTCAATGAAGAAACGTTTTCACTGGAATGCACTGTACATTAAATTTCGGTTGAAATTAATTTTTGAAGTAGACACGCATTTGTTGGGTTACATTAAAATTAATGACAAAAATTATAGAAGCAACTGGTGGGTTTGCATTCCTAAAATGCCCAATTTTTCAGAAGTGGCAGAGTTGTTATTTTGATTCCTGTTGCTTGATTTCCATCACACAGCTTCTTATCCTACACCACTGGAGTATAAATTCCTGTATTATAGGTATATTTTAATGCTAGAAATATTCTGCCATTAGGGAAGAAAATCACGGTTTCACTGGCTAGAAGGTTAACCCAGGCATCCGTGTCGTTGGTTATCATTCTTACCACGTGATTCATTGTTTAATTTACTGAACATAATACAAGATGTTATAGTTAACACACAAAAATCCCACATAAAGAAGATTATAAATTAGGCCTATGGATCAATATTGAAGACTAAACACGAAATACTATTTCACAATGCAAATAAATTCCGATCAATCATTAGTGTACAGACGATAAAATATGAAACTGAAGTACTTTCCGTGAGGTTTCATCCCTTCTACATTGCCAAAATATCCAGCCACACCTAAGATGTTCACTAGGTTTGTCAGAAACTAAATAGAATATAGGTCTATGGGTTTTCTTACTTGTAACTTTCCGAAAAAGCTGCTGCGTACGCTCTTGCGTAGTTGTACATCCTGAATCGCTATGAAGAAAACTTTCTCTGTCAAATCGCAACTTTTGAGCATCCGAAAACGCACCAAAGCAAAAATACGTGTTCACCGATCGAACCACAAACACATACAAACGTAATGTTGCCAAGGCGCGGCAGAAGTCGCCGATAAAGTTCTAAGTTTGCGCGCACGTCATTGTGACGTCACAGAAAGTCCCGGCTTTGGAACATCTGTCGCGGCGAAGCCATTGCTTAGTGCGCGTGCGCGGCTAAATTTTGGCCAAGTGCCAGAGGCGCTACGTTGTTTTCAATCAACCTCGAATCCAAAAGTGGCAGGTAGTTGGAGCGTATAATGCGCGACACCATGGTCCCTGTGGGTGGCACGGTATCCCCCCCCCCCTTCCTCGGCCTCGCGTCATCATATCACTACGCGATTTGTTTCCGTGCGGAGACTGGCGTAACTGGTGTCTTGCAGACTTATTATATCAACATCAATTTCATAAACAATTTAGAAACCCTTCACGATTTGGGATATCGAAACAATCCTGCCGAAAAAAATGCATATTCATTACCGCTCAATGCAATGACGGAAGACTGGGATATGTAATTTTCCAGATTAAAGTGCTAGAAGATACCTTTTTGCCCGTCTGACTTTAGCCCTGTAAAACTAAGTGGATCGCAATAAAAAATGTACAATCCATGATCGACTCTTGACACTTCGGTAGTTCATTACCGGCTGATTGCAGCACTGGACTTAATTCATGTTAGTTTTGAAGTATTGTGAACACGCGTTGCCCAAGGTACAAGGTAGACCTGATCTCTTCCACTCGCCCTCCATTCTCGGTCCTTGGGCAACAAAAGTTCCTCCTTTGTAACCCTATACTTTTCAGAAGATTAATAAAATTCTCCCCTTGTTTGCTTATTTGTCCTTATCTAAAAACAAGGATTTCCCAGGCAGTAGCTTAGAATGAGAATGGTGTCAAAAACTACTCACAAACGGAGTGGTCACTCACTCACTACGTCGGCCACAGCCGAGCCATGGCACCGATCCTCCAGTCGATAAGATTCCCTCAATCATGCAAATATCTAGCTCATTTGTCTCTTCCACTTTTTAGTAAATTCAAGTATGGTTCCTTTTGTCTGCTTCTGTCCTCTGGTCTTCTTCCATGTGTCGGCTCCCACTCCGAGTATGGCTCGTAGCTCAGGGTGACAGTGGCAATCATGGGCGTCGCTACACCGTTTTTAATGAGGAGGGGTGCATCATGAAATTTGTCGACGGGCCGTTATGCAAAAGGAGTGAAATTGATAATTTCCGTCCAAAATAATCCTTTATACTCCATTGCTAACTTCCTCTACAAAATAATATACATGTAATGGTTAATTCAGTTGATTACTGTGAATTGATCGTCGCACAACTGCGTGTATACACGCTCAGTACGTGTGAGCATAGCTTGTTCAATCAGGCCCATCCCCTGATCCCAGACTGGGGGGGGGGGGGGGGGGGGGGGTTTTAATCCTTAAGTTGTACTTTTTATATGAGAGCGCAGACTGCAAAGCCTAGGGCATGCGGTCCTGTGCCCGCTTAAGGGCCCGGGAAAGTTTTAGAATTCTAGATGCCCTGTACGTGGTGCAATCTGAGGCATTTTCTGGCCACTTTCCCCTGACTTTTTGAATGAAAACGTGCGCGTGCTTTGGGAGATGGGTCATCAAAGTTTATTACATCACAAAAATTACATCAAAACTGTAGCTTGACTCGGCTCTCTTTCGAGATTTAACTTGATCCATGATTTAAAGTCGTCACTAAGAATCAGCTCAAGTCGTAACTGCCTGCCACCGAGCACGTGCTTGTGTTTTGCACACTGCACAGCTCCGCCACCGCCGTATATAAATTATATGAAGCGAGTTCACGCAGCAGGCGTAAGCGCGGCAGCTCTTGCCGACATGGCCGGCCGAAAGTACAATATTTTGCCATTGGTTGCAGAACCGGATTTTAGCTTCGCGGGTATGGCGTGTCAAACGTTGCAATATTCAATATTTTGCAACATATATGTTGGATGTTCAATATGTGTTTGTTATCTTTTACATTTATGTGCGATGTTCAATATAAGTGTGCGATGTTTTTCATTATTTGCGCGATGTTTAATATATTTGTGCGATGTTTTACAATATATGTGCGATGTTCAATATAATGTGCGATGTTTTACATTTATGTGCGATTTTCAATTTATATGTGCGATGTTTTTGACGATTATATGTGCGATGTTTTCAATATTATGTTCGATTTTTTGCATTAAATATGCGATGTTTTTCTATACAATTGTGTGTGTTTTTTTACAATATATTTGCGATATTCTCAAATATGTGAGCAATGTTTTACACATATGTTTGACATTTCGAGCTATTTGTATTCGATGTTTCATCGGTATATTTGCATTCGATCTTTTGCAATATGCATTTGATGTTTCCCTTTTCATTCGATGTTTCGTTAAGAACCTCGAGGCCGATTTTCATGGCCTCGGCCTCGGCCTCGGCCTTGGCCTTGGAGGTGCAAGGCCCCGGCCTTGGCCTCGGCCTCGGAGCCTTCCGGCCTCGACGAATCGGTCGAGGCCGGCTCGAGGCCGCCCATTTTGATGTGTTTTCTATTCTAATTAATTTTAATTTTTTTACCGTATCAAACCCTCGAGATTCTGCCGTAGTGGGTTCCGTGAAACGAACGCATATACAGTGTACGCACGAATGAACTGGAAATGGTTGCATTGGACGTACTCACGTACGTAGCATCTTCGCCTAGCCTGCGCTTCAGCTTTCCACGTGCGTGCAAGCGTTATAACTGTTACCGCGTGCTAGACTACATAAGTCTGGCACCAATCCCATTTGCGTAGAATAACATGTGGTAGTAGACTAGTCTGGTTGCAGTGTTGTACAAAATGTTCACGTTTCGCCTCTGTACCCCGACCTTTAAAAATGATTTGCGGCAAGGTGCGGCAAGCTTAATCATTTCTTTTTATAGGCCACTGTTTCAGTAAAAGTCTGAACTTTCTGGGTACGATCGAGTGTACTATTCCGTACCATTTTTTTTCATAAAGATATGATAAAAACAATTACAATTTATCAAGTAGATTTTATTTTTACACGGTGATTTAAATGAAAATTCCGGCTCACACGGTAATGTTTGGCGCAAATGGTCGATATAGAAAGCGCGATTTCAGAATTCGTTTTTCCATCCAAATGAATGCAAAGTTCTGAATGAATGTTTTAATAATAGTATTCCTCGTGGTACATGTAACAGGATACTTTTTTTGTATTTTTAGAGCCATGTTGATACTTATTACATGTTTAAGCACGGTTTGAAATTGACTAATTTTGCGTGGTTACAGATATACGGCCAAAACCTCTGGACTCCCTACCTCTTGCCATGATCTTAAAATTCTTTGAAGCCATTGGATTCAAATCGGATGATCAGAGAATTCATGGTCATTTTGATGAACTGAGTGATATCACTCGGCACGCATTTTCCGTGTTTCCGTGTTGTTTGTAGCGGGATTGGCCATTGCAAGACTTTGTCTGGTACCGCGGTATTAACAGTGATAATGCGTGGACACTTATCCCGTTGTGTGGAGCGGGATTGGAACTATGCTTTGCCCGTGCGTAACGGCGGGCCGTCTGGCATTGTCTGGTCGCATCGCGGTGTTTGCTCGGCGCGCGCATGGACAGTGCGAAGGTCGGGGGGGGGGGGGGGGGGGGGGGTTCGTAACTCTTTGGTTATGAGTGGTAAAAACCTGATTCAAAATTCAAGTTGTTGTTTATTTAATGAGGATTCCGATGATATTTAGCACTTTGATAAGTTTTGAAAATAAGATTTATAAAACAGGCTAAAAGTAAATGATGTAAATCTTACAGAATAGAAACTCAAAATTTGGCCATTTAAATTGTTGTATCTCCAAAGGGCAAACACCTATGAGCCTGATTCAAACGCCATTGATTTTGTTGTGTAATTTGCTTTCAGTGATACAAAACTTGAGATTTCTTTCTTTAAAAAATTAAATTCGCCAGACTCCCTACAAGAGGAAACCCATTGCAAGCCTTAATTTGTAAGCCAGGCACTCCAAAACTCAGTGAATTCAACTAAAAAGATGTTAAAACTCCAACATGATCTTAGCTTTGTTTTAGTGATTTATATTTTATTATGTGTTTTGATAGCTGGCCTCGGCCTCGGCCTTGGCCTCGGAGGTGGTCGTCTCGGCCTTGGCCTTGGCCTCGCGGTTGTGGCCTCGGGCTCGGCCTTGGCCCCTCAGGTTGTGGCCTCGGCCTTGGCATCGGCCTCGGAGGTTGTGGCCTCGACTACAACACTGGAAAAATCTAAAATGGTAACGGGTTAACCTTGCTTTTTTAGCAAAAGTTGGAGCATATTTTACTAAAATTGGGCAAAATCAGATGCTTCTCAAAAATCCAGATGTAAAGTTTCCGCAAAAACAGCTGTTGAAAAAGAGCCCAATGTTGAACTTTACTGAGTCTGAGGTCAATCGAGGGGACGATCCTTATTTCAACTCCCGGAGATTCGCTGACAGTCTCTATTTTTCTTTCTAAGAAAGTCGAAATAGCTGAAGAGGGAGGTGAGAATCTATATGTGCCCAGATACAAAGAGTAGAATTCTACGCGTCTGCCTTTTGAAAATACACAATTGCGGTGTTCATTGTTGCGTAATGATCCGCCTAGCGCACGACTGTTTTGCACATTAGGCTGTGTTATGCAGCTTCCTAACAAACCAAACACACTGGGCTCATTATATCGACTTGTTTTTACCCATTAAGGTAAAGCAAATGAACCCAGTAATCTTCCTGGCGCGTTTGCTCACCTATAAAGACAACTTTTCTCAGTTTAAGGACAATTCTAAGGTAACGGAATGGCCGAGTGGTTACGATTCGTCGTCCACGGTTAGCGGGGTCCCGGGTTCGAATCCCGCTGGTGTCTTTTGGTTTTTAACGTATGAGTTCAATCATTTACTATAAGAGATTTAATTTCCC